AAAATCCGGGTTTTGCGTCTGTGGATCCGTGGTCGTCTGCCACCCGGAGGTGGCGTCTGATTGGCAGAGGCGCTTGGTGGTGTGGCATGTGTGAAACAAAGGCCTCCCTCAGAGCGACCAGGGCTAATTAGATTCAGCCCGCTGAGGGGTTCTGGCATGTGTCGCCGCCTCTGTGTGTGTCCTCTGCACAGACGCACGCGTGTGCACGTGCACGAGTGTGCACGTGAGTGTCGGAGCGTTTTGTTTTGGCTGAGGAAAAACACGAGGCCCCGCTTACAGTACGCGATGTACCGCGGGGGGCAGGCCAGGGCTTGTTCGGAAACGCGGACCTGACTTGGGCCGTATCTGTGTGGGCCATCGGCCCGAAGGCAGCCAGCCACAGCTGGAGCCAGGGTCAAGGTTCAGGTGTCAGGACACCCCTTCCCCCTCCCCCCTTCTGCCGTCCTCCATGTCACACACTTGGCCTCCAATAAAGAAGGCTAAGGATTTGGGAGGAGACCGCCGTCACCGTGGGCGGCGGGGGCCACGGAGGTTAACTCATTTGCATTCAGATGATCCGATTCTGCGTCTTGTTTAGTCTCCATAACGTCCATTTATTGATCCCCCCCCTTCATTTTTGCGGCACATAGTTTTCCGCCTGTTTACGTAACTGCCTAAAGCGGGGGCAACGAGTGTGTGTTTGCACACGTCCTTTGTCTTGTTCCCATCAGCTGCGCAGCTTTTTTTTTCACGAGCAGACGGGATCGCACTGGAATGCAGTGGCAACAGAGGAGGGGCCCGTCAGGATGGGGGGGGAGATAACAAAATAAAGAAAAATGTTTCTGATGAGTCACAAGGGGGGAGAATGATGATACGGAGAAGCAATAAAAAGTGTAGACGAGGACGAGGAATGCAGGATCGCCCCTCAAAACCAACAGCAGAGCGGCCAAGTTGTCCCCATGAAGTAGAGTTTTATCTGGCTGGGAGATAGTTGGTTTCTTTGTCACACAGGGAGGCAAAGACATTTGCAACAATTCTTTCTGCTGCACTTGAAAGCAGAAACTATGTTTCTGAACTATTAAGAGACAGAAGACAAAACAACTCAACACGACTTGTTTCTCCTTATGTGTGACCTCAGGCTTTATCTTTATGACAGGAGCAATCATTAGATTCTAATCGTACACGCCTTTTCCCATTTTCCAGTTTCCTAACACTTGATGCTCGCAGAGGGGTCCACTGGAGACATGAGGACGGAGGGGGCGAGGCGGCAGGCCTTAAATTAAACGGCGCGTCCTTACTTATCGTAAAAAATCGCATCACAAGAGCATTGTTTCTCTGCAGCCCGCTGATGTATCTCGTTATTACAGTCACACGAGCCATAAATCCGCCCGTGATGAACTGTATCATTGCTTGTAATTTACTGCGTGTTATGAGTGTCTTGCTCGGCCTCTGCTGGGAACGCAGCGCGCTTCCTTCTCCCCTTATTGCTCCTCCGACAGGCCTCCTCTCTTTAGGAACGGAGACATAAATAAAACAATTTGGCAGCGAGGAATTTTGGGGGTCACAGGCAGGAGAGCGGACAAACAGCACGAGCCTGCGTAAACACTTTCCTCACGTGTGTGTGGAGCGATTAAAGGAAGTTTCTCAGCCGTGAAATGAACTCTTTGCAAAATGGACATGGGTGCCGTATGTTAATATAATGCCCCTACGACGCCTGGATGTGAGGATTCTCTTTGACCAGGCAGTGTTCTCATGGCTGCATTTGGAAGGCGGGAACAGGCCTGAGAAAAAAAAAGCCTAAAGTAAAACAATGCTGCCAACACTGGAAACCACCCCCGTGTAAAATAAAAGTCAAGTTTAGCCAAGATAGATGAGTGCATCCGTGAGTAATGGAAAAGCCCAGCAAACAGTAGACTGGAAGAAACTCTTTTTTGGTGCTGAGGTAAACATTGCCGTTTGCTGGAAATAGACCCTGTTACGACTGTTTGCTGCCGGTTGAATCTCGTTTTTTCTCGCTCGGAGGCCATCGTGAATCGGTTTAGTTAGTTGCTAGTCGAGACGGTGTTTGCTCTCCATACATAGCTTTCCCGACGCTCCGGGTTGGTGTTTACTGTAAATGGCGGCCGGCCAGCTTTCCAGGCCTGGGAGCTGTTTTCTCTGAGAGTCGATGAACTGTGAACAGCGGCTCGCTCGGTGACCTCATCGGGGTCGCGGCCGTGACCTGCTGACCTCTTTCTACTTTCCCCGCAGCGGAGACCTGCAGAGGGCAGGGACGAGCGGCGCGAGGGGGACTGGGGAAGTTGTTTTGACTGACCGAATCATGGGACAGAGATTATCGGGAGGGTGAAGAGGAGCTGAGGATGCTGGGTGGACACAGACAGATGTGGTTTCCCCACTTTATATCGTTATATCAATTATTTATTTAGTTAGTTAGTTAAAAAATGAAAGTCTCTAATGAAGTCTGTCCAATGAATCAGGAAGTAGCTGCCATTCTATTACAATTCAAAATTCCTTTTATTTTAAATTGAAAGTCTTAAACCTCCCAATAGATGCACCAGTAATGGTGGATGGTTGGATAATTTTTTTACATGAGCAGCTCTGTTGTGGTGGGTTTTCTTGGACTGAAAGTGAACTCAAATCTCACTCACACAGGGACACGGTGACATATATAGATCCACTAACACTGAACTCTGCTCTCAGTCACATATCTCCCAGTTTCGTCCTCGTCTTTTGCTCTTTGTTCTTGTACGTCTGCGTGTCACTGGGAAGTTTGTTCATTTTTTTAGCTGTTTTTTATTTTTATTTCTCATTGACCTTCTGCTTTGATCGCCTCTCTGCTCTGCTGCCTTCTTTGTCTCTCTGCCTTCAGGACACTGGGCTGCTGTTGCTTTCATTTTTCCAGTTTTGCCTGAACATGCACCCGGCACCTGCTGGGTTTTCTTATGTTCCCAAAGAGGTTTCATTCACTGTCCCCCCCGCTCGGATGGAGTCTATAAAACTAACAAGGCGCATTGTTTTCTGCTTCCACGTCGTTTTGCTCTGAGCGGTGGAGTGGAGCCACATGGGAGCGCTTGACTCTGGTGTCCCCGCCGTTTGTATCTCCATCTGGACGACACAAGGCCGGCCTTCTTTCCCTGAGGCCGCAATTCTGACCCTCTTTTCTGGGGTGAAGCCCGTCGTGAAACTGCAGAGGTCAGTTTCTATCTGGAGGGGGAACAAACTTCAAGTTTGAGTCTGAGCATGCTAATGCGGAGTGATGGAGGCTAAAGATGGACGCCGCCGTCCTCCTCAGCCCGCCGTCTGCTTCTGATCGTTTCCCACGGAGGACAGAAACCGCTTTCCTCTGCAGACGTGCCCTCAGCTGGGTCTCGATGGAGCGATAGCAGGACGATGCTCCCGTATTCAAAACATGCAAAGGCAGGATCTGCGTGGCATCTTTGTGATGCTGGGAGAAAAAAAACAAGCGGGAGCACGCGCCGGCCGTTGGGGATTTAATCTCAGGATCAGCAGGTCTGTCCGACTCAGTTTCAGGAGTTTCAGGAAAAGAACTGAGGGGGGGGGGGGGGGGGTGGCGCTGACACTTTGCCCAGTCTCTGCGTGACACGAGATCCGATCCGTTTTTTTACGGTGCCGTACTTTACCAGACCGGAGCGTGATTGGATTTTACAGCCGAGCAGAGCCGATTCATCCGCCTCAGATGTCAAAGGAATTGATTATGCTTCCGTGACTGTTTTCATCTGTGCGGAAAGTGGTGTGATAAGACAAATTCTAGACACTTTAAAGAGGAAAGCAAATAACGAACTAAAACAAAAATTCAAAAAGTCCAGAAAGTCCCAGCAACTTGATCTGATCTGGTCATCTGAGGCTGTTTCCTCAGATCCAGTTTAGGTCGTGTTTTTGTTTTTTTTGTTGTCTCTCTGCTTTTGCACTTCATAGTCGCCATAGAAACATACTCTGTTAGGACGTTCCAATAGAAATATTTTTATTAATCCATCAGGAGTCATCTTGATATAGATGTCTAAATATAATCCTCTTCCATACATGAGGTCGAAGCGGAGTATTTTTGAGCAAACGGAGCATTCCCCACTGCTCCCAGAGCTCCATAAAAGGTTACTTATCACCCCACACTCCACTTGGAGAATTGTTGGACTGAACAATCCTCAGTGAGCAGAGCAGTGAAGGACTTCCTCGGTGTGGTGTGAGCGGTGGTGCATGGCAGGAATGTAAAAACCAGATGACCTCAAATGGAAACTTCAGGGCTGACGGAGAGAGGGCGAGCGGTCCATCTCCTTCGCTTTCATAAACATTCGTCCTCTCCTATGCAGGCCTTTTCTCTTTCTTCCTGACCGCTTGGCTCTCTCCGCCACCCGGCCTGGCGGAGACTGAGAGTGGCCCCCGCCACGCCCCAGATGCTGGACAGCCGCCC